ACAAGAGGTTAGTTAGTGTACATTCAGAAGAGATGGATTTGAAAAGATTTTAGAAGATAACAGAGAGTCGGAGTGACCTGTTACCAGACAAACATTGTTGCATGTCACGGCTCCTCCATTGGCAACAACAACACAACACAAAAGTGGCTCGATAAGTGGAGGCATCCGCTTTTAATGAACTTATTATTCTCTACTCTCGATTAAAGTCTTGTATTGTTGGTAGCTAGTTGCATGTTGTGTTGTTAATGAGTTCGTGGAGAAATGGAGACAAATTAGGTATCGAACTAACCTTTATCGATTATTCCACTTTTCTAACGAATCGATTAATTTATCTGACTATATCTATGGACTTGGTTTTGTTATAAAATAAACATATACCACACAGACAATGCTTATTTGATAAAAGTATCTCACACGAACATTGCGTATTGATTTTATTTTGTTTTATAGAATAAGTATCTATTTGATTTTAGTAGCTATCTGAATTCTTGGTCTTCCAAGTTTCACAAACTAATATAACTAATGTAGTTAATGTGGGTTTTGTGGATAAACCGCTGTGGGTTGTGGTTAACCACTAACCACAAAAATCAATACTTTGCAACCCACACCCAACGAGATGAACTATGGTGCTAACCCCAGGGGGTTAGCACTGTCCTAACCCTAATCTACACCGTTAAAATCTACTTCTAATCTAATGGTTAAGAAAACACTAAGGGTAAGTTAGGGATAATCAGCATGAAATATTTTTTTCGTTTTCAAATTAAATATGTTTGTTTTAATGGCGCTGATTTGTAGGGATTTGGGACGGTTAGGAGTTTTGATTTTTTGAATAATGGTGTAGCCTCTCCAGTTTCCTCTGATTCGTGGATAACGACGACGACGGTGAGGGAGAGAAAAATCGAAGGGGAAAAACAAATATCGTCGGAGGTGTCATCGGAAACGGCGGAGAGAAGGTTTATTGTTGATGGCAACAGAATCCGAGGAAGTTTTTGTGATGACCGAGGCAGCGGAAATGGACGCGGCAGAACCGGTGATCGACTTGTCCATCGTCCCGGTGGAAGTGGAAAAAGCGAGGGAGGAGATCAGTGACTGTACGGTGTGGGTTTTCTTTTACATGGTTAATCTTTGTGAGGAGATCATTTATTCTGTACCACCATATATGAGTAACGTCGGGAATGCAGTTTCTGGGATGTAAAAGGAGGTGTGATGTAGGCATATTAGTGGTAGTGTTTTTTTTATGGTAGTGGTTGTAGTGATATTACTGTTTGGCGGTGTGGTTTGTCCGCAGCAGTAGTACTTGTGAGTTTGTATGGTTTGTAAAGGTGGATGGGTGTGTAGTGTTTTTGTGGGGTTTGTTGCGTGTGTATTGGTTGAAGTGTTTCTGAGTAGGGAATATGTAGTGTTTGCCAGATTGGAGTGTAATTTTCTTGTTTTACTGTTTTTGGTAGTTTGTGAAGCTTTAGTTGCGTGTGATGTGTTATGCAAGGTAGTATATTTTTATGGTAGTGTTTTGGTACGAGGTAGATATGTTAGTGTAGCGGTTTTGGCTTTTGGTAGTATAGTGTTTTCAGTTGTAGCGTTTGTGCATGTCTGCATGAACGAGTAATGCAGTAGTTCTGATTCAATGTTTTACAATGTTGAATTATATTTACAGACTCAGGGACAGTTGTACACGCAACGGAAAGAAACACCAGTAATAACAAAACCAATACGGTACACACTTTAGCACCACTGCTAATAAAAGAAACACTACTAACACGGTTCAATTGCAAGCTTTCTCGCCACCATTAACTCAAAAACACTACTAAGCAGGATGGGAATAACTACCAGTATGAAGCCCTTACTCAATTCGCGGTTAGCTGTAACATAACACGAAACACTACCAAGGAAACAATACTACCCACACCCAAAAACACTACAAACTCAACGGTTTGGACCCCACGGTCAGTTGTAACCTAACACGAATCAGTATAAAGGAAACAATACCACTCACACCCACGAACACTACGAACTCCATGTTTTGGACTCTTCACCTTCTCGTATGCAAAACTGAACTTCGTCGGATAAAAAATTGCTCCACACTCCGATCAGAAACCAAAACAGAGCTAGCATCCGGAAACCTACACGAAACCTCCCTAAAAGACAGATCTTGATCAGAAATAAAAATCGGAGCCGGGGCAGGGGCATTCAATGGAGCCTATGAAAAGATTGAAAGAAGATTGAAGAGGTTTGACTATTACCTGAGGCGGCGGCCCGAGCGAAGACAAGATCGGGTGAAATCAACTGCCCACAACGAGTTCGGAGAAGCAGAGGACGGTGGCGACGAGGTGGGAGGATCGGAGGTCAGCGACGAGGTCGAGGGGAGCGGAGGGCGGCGTTGAGGTTTCCGGATGGCGGCGTCGAAAGGATCGGAGGGCGGTGTCGAGGGGAGCGGAGGGCGACGTCGAAAGGAGCGGAGGGCGGTGTCGAAAGGAGTGGGAAGAAAACCCCAGGAAAAAGAAACTTCTCACACCCCCCAAAAATCCCACTGATTTCTACCAAACAAATCCCGCTACTTACACGGCCTGACAACTAAATACCCGAACTTACAAAAATGCCCCTGGAAATATTACACCTTTTGCATTAGCCGATAAAAAAGGGAATATGCGGGTTAGCACGGTGTTAACATACTATGGTAAGCACCCCATCCCATCCCACACCCAACCCACTATCCACAAATTGTGGGTATTGGTATCCACAAAGTATGCGGTTTGATGCGATTTGCGGGTCACCCGCAACCTGCAAACCAAACTTCCACCGCTAGACTCCTGCTCACTTTCAAATTTTATATTGTTTTAGGATTAGTTGGACACTTTTTATATATTTTCTCATGTTTTTAGTATTCATTAATCTAATTGCAAGTCATAATGATTGCTAAAATTAAGCTTCTCTACAACACTCTAGGAGTTGGGGGTGTTGAACTTGGAGTAGAAGAATTAGGATTGGATTTGGGAAGGGAAGCGGTGGGGGAAGAAATTGTGTTTGGATTTGGTTGCATGTAAAACTAAACTGCAGCAGGTGAAGGCCGAGAAGATGGAGTGGGTAAGGGTAATGATCGAATTGACGAGTGTATTGAAAGACATTGAGGCGAAACTGGATCAGTTGAAGAGATAGATGATGAGGATATCAATGAAAATGTAGATGGTATTTAAGGGCGTGGAAGTGTATTGAAGCAGGTGAAGGAAGACAAAGGGGACATGAGCATATTGATAGAATTAGAGATGAGTATTGGTTTTAGCGAGCTTATTACAACTTTCCCTGAGGATGATGAGTTGGCAAAACACAAGAAGAGGATCGAGGAGTTGAAGAGCGAGTTGACAAGAAACCCAATTTAAAGAGAAATTGAGGGCCATAGAGAGAAGGTCTATCAAAGTAGCCGAAAAGGAGTTACAGAAGGAGCCTCATAAAAAAAAGAGTTATAGAAGGAGTATTAGAAAGTGAATTTTTGGTTGAAATATATGCCTCTTAAGATTGAAGATAGAGTGAATAAAAATTTGGTTGTACAACGAAGAGTGGTGATTATTGGATCTTTAGGTTTATGGGTTTTGCAGCTACCACAACCTATTTCTATCTTAAAACGAGGAATCATTGATTGATTTACTTAAGTGGGTCGATTCTTTATTCAACCTACTGGAACTGATAGATAAGGAGTATCTAATTTTATGCCTCAATACTTTGATTGGGTCTATTAGTATATTGGAGGTAGCCCTAGTTTTGTCATTTGCTCTCAAGTTTTGACGGTACCCTCTTAGCTTACTTGTTAATATATAGTTGACTTGAATCAACAACTCTCTGTTTTTTTATTAGTGGCCTATTGTTCCTAAAATGAGAGCATTGAACCCTTTATGTAGAATTGTGAGGTTTCATATTCGGTTTCAAACAATCTATGGGTCGTGTGAAATTCCAGTAAGCTTTTATAGTCTATCTTTTTTTACAATCAACTAACCCATAACATTTTAACTTGACCTTAATTGTCATTATGAATATGGGTTCAATGATGCATATATTCTTAAATGGTATTTCCGAATGTTCTACCAATATATTCTTCCGTTATGTATCATTTCGCTCGAAGGATTGTCAATAAAATTAAACGGATTGATAGAGTTAAATGTAACATAAAAATATGAATATTCAAATATGAACATTCCAACCAACTGGTAAAGCTAATTATATGAATAGCGCCTACTTACATATTCCAACATACTTTTTAAATTTTTTGTCAAATTTATATTTTCTATCAATCATATGTTTTTGGTTGCAAATTAAATGGATTCAGATACGACTCTTTAATTAACACAACGTTGTTTTTTCTTTTCTAAATGCACTTTTTTAGTTTCGATGCTATCTTCATAAAATGTCGATAATTTCCAAAATTCCGTATCATTCTTACTAATATTACCACGCCAACCTCATGAAAACTAGCAGCTCTTTCATAATAAAGAATGGATATGTATGTATAGAGGAGCACTTCTACTATGCTATATAGTATTGGTGCTTTAATGTACAACTTAAAGTTGTACCATAACATTAAATGTATAAGTTTAGGTGGTTGTACCATAAAGCAATTTGTACCATTATGTTATGGTACAACTTTACAACTTGAAGTTGTACCATCACATAAAGGTACAAGTCCAAGTTGTACCATAAAAGAATTTGTACAAAAAGTATAGGTACAATCTAAAATTGTACCATAACGTAAATGTACAATTTTAAGTTGTACCATAAAGGCAAAATCTTATAGCACCAATACTATATAGCATTGTAAAATTTCTCATCATTTGACCACACAAAAAAATGTAAAGAATAAATCAAAATTATATATTGTGTATATGAACACCGAGTAATCGAGCAAATTCTCAAAGTGGGACAAAGAAGAAGAAGAAGGAACAAGTGAAAAACAAATCATACAAAGAACAGAAACAAAACTAAATTCTGCCAAAACAAAAAACAAAAAAAAGAAGGTAAAAAGCTTTTATCTATTACATGATAATTTATTTACATGAAATCGTCAAGTAACTCCAAGCTCTCCGGAATCTCAAACTTGAGCAAGCCGCTGCAATAGCTCTCCCTCTCATCCTCCGTCGTCGTACCGGCACTCAAGCTGCCGTTCACGAAATTTGACGACGTCGGTGTCACCTGCGCTGGGCTCGATAACGGCGTCGAAATAACGGACGAGTCCGCATTACCAATATTTCCACCGCCGGCGCTAATCAAGCTACTCTGATACCAATCCGCACCGTTACCGTTATTATTCCCACTCAACCCGGCTCCAACAGACTGGAAACTCTGACTATTCTCCGAAAGTTCAGGGATCGTATTCCAAAACCCAAAATCATTGGGTAGCGAAGCGAAATTATCCTGATCCGACACCTGACTCCCGGAGTTGTTATCATTATTATTATTTAATTCCAGGAAACGCTCCAGGTCAGCCTGCTGCTGCTGAATCAGCTGCGACGGCGTCGTTTGACTGTCCGTGAGATTCTGCTGCTGTTGGAGGTAGAGATCCGGGTTCTCCTGCTTCAGCGAGGCGAGCGCGGCGGCGATGCGGAGGAGCTCCGGGTTGAGCAGGGACGGAGGGGACTGTGTGCCGGCGGCGAGAAGGGCGAGGAGAGACGCGGCCGGGTTGACGTGGCAGAGCGCGTTGCCGAGAATCGCGGATAAGTCGAGGAGGTCGAGGCGGGGCGCGTGGGTGACCGGATCGATGCCGTTGCGGAGAAGCCTCTTGCGGATATGGGTGTTCCAATAGTTCTTGATCTCGTTGTCCGTCCTTCCAGGCAAACGGGCAGCTATGGCTGACCACCTAAAATTTCACCAAACACATTGACTCAAGGATTAGTTTAGTTTAGTTTTTTTTCATGCATATATAGGTTTATTGATACTACCAAACAAGACTGTTAGGTTTATGGTGACGATTTTATTTCATTTTTCTTCTCTCACAAGTAAACACTCAACAGAGGAAATGGTCATTACTCGCGGTCCAACCGAAAAAAAAAATTCAAGGGAGGAGTTTAAGTCAGTGAGTACGTGTTCCAACTTTTAATTTTTTCGATACAACTTTTACGGTACACGGTACAATATGATTCTATATTCGTTGGTGATTAGTGGTATGATTTGCTTACTTGTTGCCGAGGATGCTGTGGAGCTGGATGATGGTCTCCTCCTCCTCGAAGGCGAAACGGCCTCGCTTGATGTCGGGGCGGAGGTAGTTCGTCCATCTCAGGCGACAACTCTTACCACATCTCTGAAGACCTATAATTGATGGAACAATGAAGGGAAAATATGAGAAATAATGTGCGTACGCAGATTGTTGGTTTAGGTCATGATGGACATGTGTATATATATATGGTGGCTTCTATCGTACTTACCGGCATTTTTGGGGAGGGTGCGCCAGTTGCCAGGGCCGTGCAACTGGATGTAAGAGGTGAGCTTGTGATCCTCTTCAGTAGTCCAGGGGCCTTTCTTCAGCCCATTCTTGTCGCAGCAAGGAGTTCTTCCCATTCTTGGAAATGCTAATTAACAGGGTGTTTTGGTTGTAGTTGTGAAGGATCGGAGGAAGGAGAGGATGAGCATTAATGGTGAACTGTGGATGGATGGGATTGTGTTGTGTTGTGTATATATAGGGATTAGGTTAGGGAGAAGAAGGAAAGGTAGAAATGGCTGCGAAACAAAGTCAGAGAGATTTGGTGCCGCCTGGCCTCTTTTGCCACGTATTTTACGTTTGAATTTTTTTTTTTCTTATAACTAATGTGTCCATTTCATATCTCCACTAACGTGATTCGATTTTGTAATGTAAAAATAATATTAATAATAATGTCTGTCTACGCAGCTGGGGCAATGCGTGTATGATGCATATTTCTGGGTGGTGGTGATGTGCGCAAATCGTAATATAGAAATTGCATGGTATGTAAATGGTGACAAGTGTGAAATTAATGGTTTGTGTTCCCTGGGGGAGTTTTAAAAGGGAAACTGCAGCCTTTGTTTGGGGACACGATATGGGTTCCAGCTCTTTTCCTTATATATATATATATATGCTACGTGCGCAATTTAAGGACGAAATAAATTATCAGTAAAAGTTGCATGTACATTTCACCAGTATGATAGCTAGCTAAGCTCTAATTTAGTGTTATAAACTAACTGGTGGCACTAACTTGATCAGTTGTTGAAACAAGACCAATATATGTATATCATACCACTTTTTTACAATAACATCAAATAAATTCCTAAAACAACTTTCATAATTTATTTTATACGGTATAATCCAAAAGGCAACCCTCGGGCCCAACACCATAGAGCCAAAACGATAGTGCTACTTCGTGCAATGAAGCATGCATTGCAATAAAGTGGTGTAAGATTCATATTTTGGTGTCTTTCGATGATTGACTTTTAATATGATATTAGAGACGAGTGGGGTTTATTAAGGAAACAGTTCAAGTAGTTTTTTTTTTATAATGGAAACTGAATCAATCAAAGAAAGAAAATAAGCAAAACTAACTCGTAGATAGCAAATATTTCATATACAAAATTCAATAAGCAAATTTAATTCTCACTCCCGTTGTTTTCCTTTCATAAATGGTGAACTTAAATTCCCATTAACTTGCCCGGTAACTTATTAAGTGCTTGGAACATTCATAAATGTCAATGAGTTAATTAATTACTTGTCGAATGCAGATATGAATATTTCGTTTGAATTGGGGGATACCCAGAGAATAGGTTAGGATGATTACTAATCACGGTGGCTACCAACATCTATACCATTCATTATCTTTATTTTATTATATTTTTAAATTAACGATTAGGATTAGTTAAGAATAATTTAGGAAATGAAAAACATACCACACCTAATTACTCTATATATTATACTCAAACCCTAATACAACCCCACAACCGCCGCCGTCTCTCCCTTCTCCCACAACCGGCGTCCCTCCCTCCCCCCTCCCTCCGACCACCCCAACCCCAGTACAGCTCTCAACCGGACGTCCCTCCCCTCGATGGCGTCCCTCCCTCCCCCCCTCCCCCTCCCTCCGACCACCCCAAACAAGCCATTCGCTAGCTTCGTCTTTCACGGCCCAACCGGAGTTGGGAAATCACTGCTCGCCAGAGCATTAGCAATGGAGTTCCTCGGGTCGATAGATTCGCTGGAAAAGGTGGGATGAATAAAAACCCTAGATCTGATTTTTTCGCATTGGTAGTGATTTTTTCGTAGTGGTAGTGTTTTTTTTGCATTGGTATTGTTTTTGTCGCATTGGTACTGATTATCATGTAATGGTATTAATTTGCGTGCATTGGTATGGATTCAATCTGCAATGGTATTGATTTTTTGTGAAATGGTATAGATTTATATTGGTAGATTGTTTATATTGGTAGTTTTCGTGTAATGGTATAGATTTATTTCTGCAATGATATTGATATTTTTCAAAGTGGTAGTGATTGTCTAATGGATTGGTAGTGATTTCGTGTTTTTTTTTCTTTTGCAGAAGATTGAGAAAAATAAGGAAACGGGATCTGGCTGAAGATTATGGAAGTGAGAGAAAGAGAGATAATTGTAATTAATAGATTCTTGTAACTACCTAAAATGTAATTTATTAAAAAAATTAATTATTACAATTTATTTTTCATACCCAATTTACCCTTAGTAACCACGGTGATTACTACTTACGTAGTAGTAACCGTAACCTGTCGCGGATATCTAGGCAAGGAAACATGATTGAACTTTGACTTGTGTACACTCCAAGTAATTTCACTTCATTCACCATCAGTAATTACTTATGTCAATAACCTTCGAGCTTTTCTTGATATACAAGCATCCAAGGTTGTCAACCCGCGGGGTTGACCCGGACCCGGTTTAGCTAGTGGGTCAAGGGTTAATGGGTCACCCGATTTAGCCCGGTTTAGCCCAGAAATATGGAAAGCGTCATTAGGTTTTTGTTGTCCTCGTTGCGTTCATAAGGTTTAGGCATGTAACGAAGAAACGATCACTACCTTTGGATCTCTGATGATCGCTACTATCAGGGGCGGGGCTACATTGGGTTGGGCCGTTGGGGTGGTCCGGCCCCCCGAGAATTTTGAAAATCGCGTATGAGTACAACGAAAATTTCAAAATTACGTATTAATTATGCTATTTGTATAAATAACGACATTGTACAATTTGATGCAACTATGGCTGTATGTAGTCTAGCTGGTAAGTGGTTTTCTTTTACTTTAGGGGATGCGTGTTCAAAATCTATCAACAATGCATTTTACAATTTTTGGTTCTGTTGCATTAATTTTTGCTAAAAAAAACTCAGTTAGTTTTGGATACGTATCAAATTACTGAAGAACATGGTACAAACAAAAAAATGATTATTATTTTTTGTTGACAATTTATTCAATAATGTTGAACATATCATTGTTAAATTTTTAATTTAAATCACAATTTTAGTGCTAATAATTATCTTAGATAATAAATTGTAATGTGAGATTTATATTTTTTTTTTTTTTTAATTTTACGATAATACGTACTAAAATTTTTTTTGGTCCCCCAAACTTCAAACCCTGGCTCCGCCCCCAACTACTATGTCACCCCATTATTCGCAAACTTCATATATTCACCTTGTCAAAATTTTATGATATTAATGCAAATTTGGTTTTAAATCCATTTAACTCTGTAAGCATAACTCATCACATAATTCAATATATAGACAACACTTTTCAAAAATCATCACGACCGATATCCATCCATCACTAGTCATTTTCCAAACCTAAACCAACAAATAACATCTTAAATTTTTCATACAATTTTCCTCTGTGGTATATAGGAGGAGACACGTTGAATGTTGAGAAATGAGTTTGAATCCCGGCAGAAAGAAAGACAAGCAAGACGGATAAGTTTTTGCAAAGTGATAATGGAGGAGAGACAAATGTCAACGGCGAAATGAGATTTGTGATATTGAGAGAAATTGAAGAAGGAAAAAGTGATTTTGACCTTTGGTTTAAGAGATCAAAGTCCGAGTTGAGAGTGATTGGGCGGTGAGGCGGTTATGAGATTAAGGACGAAAATCATGCCCCCAGGCGGCTTAACCCTTCCATTTTGTCTGTCTTCCAAGCCGAGTCCTGCGTTTTTCGCTGCTTTGACCTTTTCTTCCTCTTCTTCACCCTCTTCAAATAATTACTCTTTTTACCTTTTTTATTTTAAAATTAAATTGTACAAAATCGACACAAATTTTTAATTTGTAACGAATAGATAACAAAATTGTGTACTTAGAACAAGAAGGTCACAACTTGAACAAAGTGACCATTTCACAAGTTCAAACTTTTGTTACAGTGTCGTTACAAATTGATCATTTTGTACAAAGTTCAAGGGTTTGAACAATCAGTCACTGTTAAAATTTGCTCCAGATGAGGTATGGTGTTTTGTTATTGATGTGAATGCTATGATCGTAATAAAGGACGACAGTGAAAGAGTTCAACACCTCACAAACTGGTTGAAAGCTACTTTTTAGTTGAAAAACTCGACATACTTTCTTACTTTCGTGGGATCGAAATTAAAAGGTCAACAGAGGGCATTCTTATTCGGCAAAACAAGTATATCGATGAACATGCGACCTCACATCTTATATGGCGTTGAAGTGGTTAGTGTCATATAGTGGACGAAAACATTACCCGATTTCAAAAAAAAAACACACACGCTTAATTTCCGTGGTCAGTCTTCTTTAGTATCGCGATTTGGATTATTTGGAAGAACATGAATTAGCTTTGCTTTAAATGGGCCCCTTTACCCTCAGACCCCCATCTTTAGCTCATTCAATTGTCGCAAAAGCCAGGCCGTGGCACGCAGCCTGCAACGCCCTATCGTTGTTACCTAGCTCGAGATGTACGCCAGCGAGCAGGATTATGACTTCTATCTCCAGGACTCCCCCGCGAGAAGGATGGGTTAATTTAAATCTGGACGGCACGCCAAATGATAATCTAGGACTGGCGGGCGCTGGAGGTGCGGTCAGAGATGAAGCTGGATGGTGGATCATCGATTTTGTGGCTAAGATTGGAGAGGCGTCAACAGCCTTGGAAGAGCTATGGGGCTTTTACTATGGTTTGGATTTAGTTTGGAAGACAGGATGTCGAACTGTTATGGTAGAACCAGACTCCCAGCTTGCTATTTTGTTGATCAGCGACAGACATGATGTAGTATCCGTATGCCACCTTGCTCTCCTCTATCCGTAGGAAAATTAGACGGGACTGGTTAGTGCGCATCTCTCATGTATACCGAAAAGGGAATAGAGTCGCAGACTAGCTCTCGAAACACAATTTCGTCTATCCCTACAGTATTCATGAGCTTGCGCACTCACCAACGGGCCTAATTCCCTTTCTGCGGGACGATACTCAGGGTGTATCCTTCGATTGGAGGATTGTTTCCCATCACATTACTTCTTCTACTTTCTCTCCACCCCTGTAAACTGTCTACTTGCCTTTTTGCCTCCCTTAATGCAAAAAAAAAAAAAAAATGACAACACATATAATAATGACTCATGTTTAGATATGGTGAAATGAAACAGTAGTATGACTAGATAGACTTTTAGTGTTTCTGTTTTTTTTTATAATGGTGAGGCTTACATTAAACCAAAAGGAAAACAAAGGTACAAAGCTGCATTGACTCAGAAAGGTTGAACCAAAACCAACAAACAACAAAACCAAAACAGACAAAGCAACTAAGTGGACCGAACCACTCTGGTTGCAAAGCGCAAAACAAAAAGAGAGGGGTACAGACAGCCATGGAAACACAAGGAAAGAACACAGGATGGGTTAACCCATCCCGTTGCAAAGCGCAAAACAAAAAGGGAGGAATACAGACAGCCCTGAAAACACAAGAAAAGAACACAAGATGAGTCAACCCATCACAACAAAAGCAGGAAGCAAACTTTTCTAAATACCAAACAAACACCAAAAGAGAGCAACTTCAAAGGAAAACACCCAGAGAGCAACATTCAAGATTTGGATAAAAAGCTATTATTATTTGTTTTTAAGAAAAAAAGACTATTATTTTAGTATAAGAGATGATGTAAAATGATGAAATTTTTTTAATATGCAATACCAAAAAAAAAACAAACTTAGCCACAATCAATATTGTTGGATGTATTTTATATTAATAATAAAAATAACAAATGTATAGAGTTAGTTAAGAGTGATAAATGATTTTAGTGTAGGGTTAGTAAGGAAACTCACGTTAGGAGTTGGCATGGAATGGGATATCTGACAGACAGAGTGGCTCCTTTTTGGTTGGAGTTGCATTGTGATTTGTGAACTGTGTTTTTAACTAACTAAACTGCCACGCTGGAACCCAATCCCAAACTATACACCACAAACGTTTCGCCACGTAGCTAAAAAGGTTATATAAGGCGCTCAACAAACACAAAAATAGTCAACTTCTCCATTCTGCTTGCTTGCCATTTGTCCACTTTGCCAACAAATACTGTTGCCTTGTATCTTAAGGTTCCCCACAAATGAATAGCTAACACCCAAACACAAACTCCAGGGCCTTTGGATCCATTTCATGATACATGTGAAAATAACCAAATTCAAAGTCATTGACATTCAGGTACTGAATTCCATCAACCTTCCATCTAACAAATGTGTAATTTGGGTCAAACATAATATAAAATGATTATAATTAGTACTTACAATGTAAGGTCAAAATGAGTGTTGCTTTTGGAGCCTTCCTGCTTCATATCTTCACTCCCAATATTTTTTAAAGAAAAACTTGTCGATCCCTAGAAAACAATCTAGAAAGGGTTGAACACTTGCTTATCAAATCAGACTTATAGTTACCCCATCATCCCTATTGGATACAATCTTACAGGAGTTTCAATGGTGAACTCGTTTTTACTTTCAGGTATTGTTTTGGGTCAGCTCCGTCTCCGTGATATTTGTATTTCGGTTATTCATTTTCTTAGGTTGGTTTTGTTTGTTTATTTTATGAATTTCATTGACGATGTGGATGCTGATGAGGCAAAGCTGATAATATTTTGGATTGAAATTAACTACCGGAAGTGATCATTTCATTACAAGTCCAAAAACTAAAGAAATATGACAATTTTCCCTAATTATCTAATCGATCAAGCAAAGTCAACCTTTTGGAACCATTTTGTACAAAGACTAAAGAAATATGACCATTTTTCCTAATTATCTGGTTTATAATCATTTTTACCTTTGCTCACTAAATTCTATGTGGGATTTCGTAGATCGTTGTAATTCCTATTTCATGCTCCTAGGCTATAGGTTGTTTTGTTTTGTATCCAATAGTCAAACCATGTTCTCATGTCATCATAATTTATAAGGTAAATATAATATATAAGCAACAACTATTACGAAGCGGGAAATTATAACCACAATTATGAAAAACATAAATTATTAGCCATAATTATTTTTGCGCGTAAACGAATGGCTAATAGTCTGTTACCTTTACTAACTTTGTAACGGAAAAAGCCACGTCAGCAGTCACATCACCTTCCACGTCAGATTAATTTTTATTTATAATTTTCAAACATTAAAAAAAACAAAAAATGGAGGGTCAAAGCCCCCTCATCTTCTTCACTTCGGTCGAATCCTCCGCCTCAATTCCGCTTCTTCCCTTCGATCGAATCCTTACCGCCTCAATCCTTCCCCAGCCGTTCCCTACCGCATTCCCCGCTGCCAGCCCTTCGTCATCGCCTTCAATTCCTTCTCGCAACCGCATCCTCATTCCATTCCCCACCAGGTCTTCTTCGATTCCAACTTTCATCGTCGCTGTCCCCTACTTTTCCTCCTTCGAGCAGACGTTGCCTCCGTCCACTGCTAGTCTTTCCATATTGCAGTCTTTGACTCTTTAATTGGCGTGGCAGAGGGTAGATGGTGGCTCCGAGAAGGATGGAAGAGGCAGAGGGGTTTCAAGGGCGGACTAGATCTGGGAAGCACGTATCTGATTCATCACACTCCCATCTTCAATCTCCACATCTCGACTCTGTCGATTCTACAAATGAAAGACGAAGCTCTCCTTCATAATCCGCTCCAATTTCCTCTTCACCCACCCCGACTAGATCCGATCTCGAGGACCCTGAAACAAGCCCAAAATTCTGCTCCAATCCACTAGATAAAATGCCGCCTACAACAGCACCATGAATTTGTACAACAGAATCCCCCTTGACCCTCTCCACAACCTTTGAAACCATATGTACAGTCTAGGCATTGACAATCTTGCCGCCCGGTGCAGTTGGATTGGTTCTATGCGAGGGCGCTGATGTACAACCCTCGAAACTCTAGATTCCGCCGAATTTGTATAGAAAGTCGAGGGGGATCAAAATGAAGAGGTTTTGTAGGAGGGAGACGTCCCCGGGCCAGAACTGACCTAATTTTAAGTCCTGAATTTGGAAATTCCTGTCGGTGAATCGCTTCAGGAGGCGACAACGATGTGGATTTTCTGCGTGGAGGAGCAAGTTTTGAGTGGAAGAGCAAGTTTTATTGTCTTTATTAGGAGCAAGTTTTTATATTTTTTAAATTAATATGTTTCCACATCATGACACCTCAGCATAGGTTAACGAAAATTCGGAAGAATAATTAACGGCTGGCTAATATATCGTATTATGATAGTTGTGGCTATTATTTCGAATTTCTTAATAGTTCTGACTAATATATTGTATTTACCCTAATTTATATCAAGGTTTGGTTATTTAAGCTTCTTTCGGATGAGTGACTTTCAATTGTTCATTTCATTTGCGGACTTAATTAGGTCGTGGGGTATATTTTATGTGCATGTGGTGTGTGTCAACTACAAAATGTGTCACCAGTACTCTTCATGTTGACGTTTTTTTTATATAATGGTAAAATTCATTAATTATTAAAGTTACCAAAATACAACAAAAGGAAAAAAAGGAAAAGGTACATAAATAGAATTTACAGAGAAAGCTCCTAATACTGGCCAATCACAACTCCACAACCCAAGACAATAGACCCTCCTTCCTAACATCTCAAATTGAAAATGCAAGTGAGGTAGCAGCAGCAAGTAGGCACAGTATTTCTTCCTACTGGACTAAGGGAAACCCTCTTTAAGACTGTTGCACGGGCATCCTTCTGAATAAGCACTCCCTTAATCTCTGCATCCAAGTGTCTCCAACCTGCCTGTCCATCTTCCCCTGCCTGTATGATACAGTTTGCGAGGTTGTGCATCTGTCATCAAATATCCTGAAATTTTGTTCCTTCCAAATACACCACAACAATGCGTGCAACAACGAAGCCATAAAACCAATCCTTAGGTCTTTGCGAGTTCAACGGTATCCACCTCTTGATCATTTTCGTTAACTCTGTATTTGTATGCCTGATGTTGAAGTAAACAAAATGTCTAATGATCCTCCAAACCTGCATTGTGATTTTGCAATTCAGGAACAAGTGGTTCGGGTCTTCCTCACTATAATTACAAAGTGGGCACCTATTGGGAAAGCTCCAGCCCTTTCTTTTTAGTGCATCTTGTGTGAGAACTCTCCTCCGATATGCCAACCATACAAATAAACAGATTTTGGAGGGGATGTAACTCTTCCCCCGAGCTTCCTGGTCTGATAATTGCATTCTTCCAAAAGAAATCCTTCATCTTATAAATCTGTGACCATGGACTAACACCAACCGATGTAAAAGGTTTAGCCGGCATCCACTGCGAATCATCATCTGAATATTTAATCTTCATCAATCTCGTCCACCAACTATAATCATTTGCAAACTTCCACCACCAATTTGATAATAAAGCAATATTGTGTCTACGCATATCCTGGATGCCAAGGCCACCCATCTTCTTGGGTCTCTTACAGTGTTTCCAAGACACAAAACATAGCTTATTTTCTTGAGTACCAGACAAATGAAGGAAAACTGTAGTCTCTCGATGGCCTGAATTATATGAGCTGGGGCTCAAAACAGAGAACAGAGATACGTCGATTGGCTGGCCAAAACTGGCTTAGTGAGCACAATTCTTCCACCAAAAGATAAAAACCTTCCTTTCCATCCTTGTAGTCTTGCCTGAATCTTATTAATCGGAGGATCCCATATACTAGCAGCTGATGGAGAGGTGCCAAGAGGCAATCCCAAGTAGATTGTGGGGAGAAATTCACAATCACAGCCTAGCAGATCAGCAAGCCAAACTGCTGCACATTACCGACTGGGAATAACTTACTCTTTTCCAAATTTATCTTGAGCCCTGTGACACACTGGAAGCACAGTAGGATTGCAAGTACGTTTGTAACTTCACTCTCCGTAGCATCGCAAAAAATGATAGCATCATCTGCATAGAGTATGTGAGACACTTCTCTTCTATTAACTTCATCCATACAAAACCCCAAAATATGGCCTACTGCATTTGCCTCTTCAATCATAAAGGATAGTACGTCAATTATTAAGTTGAACAACATTGGTGATAGTGAATCACCTTGTTTAAGACCCCTTTCCATGTTAAAGAAGTATGCTGCCTCCCCATTTACTAAAACTGACAGCTTTGAGTGAGAAACTATTCCTTTGATCCACTTCTGAAAACGCCGATTAAACCCCATTGACTCGATAATCTTGAATAGACAGTTCCAGTTGATGGAGTCAAATGCATTTTCAATGTCAAGCTTTAGAACTAAACCAAGTTTGCCACTTATTCTGCTGTCAAGGACTTCATTGGCAATGAAGTTGGCTTCATGACTCTGTCGGCCTCGAACTCCAGCGAACTGATAAAAGGAAATGATGAACTTCATGTATGGCCTCGCCCTAGCAAATATCACCTTGCAAATGGTTTTGTTAAGACTACCAATGAGGCTGATTGGTCTAAAGTCCTTCACTTCTTCCACCGCTTATTTCTTCGAAATCAAACACAAGAAAGAATGTGCCACTGAACTAAGATACTCTCCAGTTAAGTAAAAATGATCAAGTGCTTTTAGTAGGTTAGTCTTTATGATATTCCAAGCTTTTTTGTAGAATCCAATGGTGAAACCATCCGGGCCTGGTGCCTTGTCATTATTGCAGTCTAAAATTGCTTTCCTAATTTCTTCTAGAGTAAATGGACTTGTCAAAGCAAAATTGTCTTTGATATTTATCAACCCAACTTTGTAGTTCGTAGGAAAAGGTAGATTAGTGCAGCTTTCCTTAAACCTATTTTGATAATGTTGGACGAAAGCATTCTGCAATTCTTCTTTGCCTTGTGTCAGGTTGCCATCCACCTTGATATTGTGTATGTTATTTCTTCTCTTGTTGTTTTTGGCAACTCGTTGGAAGTAGGGAGTATTCTGATACCCAACTTTCAACCACAAATCCCAGGATTTTTGGCGCAGGAGACCTCTTCCATGATGAGTATCCTTTCTATTTCGATCTTCAAAATGGTTCTCTCAATAATTAACTCCTCCCTAATGTCCTGTCGCTCCTACAATCCATCAATATTTCTGATCTTCTCCATAAATTCTGATATTTTCTTCTCAACTCTACCAAAATGCTCAATATTCCACTTTTTAATACAAAAATTGTGTTTCTAAATCTTTGACCAAACCGGAAAACTCCTCCCACCCCAGAGACCGGAATGCTCCACTAACCTATCAAGTAAGTTAAGAATCTTTCCTCCAACAACCACATGTTTTCGAATCTCCAAGGCCTTCGGACTCTGCCTTCACTACCCCATCGTAAAAGAATGGGGTTATGATCAGACTCCACTTTGTCAAGAGCAACAATGGATTCACGTGAGAAGCACACATCAAAACTGTGATTAATAAGAGCTCTATCAATCCATGATAAGGATTGTGAAGCTCCCCCTCTTCTCCTTCTATACTTAGCTCCTTTTAGAGGTAAATCGATCAGACCCGAATTATTTATGATGTTGCTTCTGTCATGAGTTACAGATCCCTTGGTTGTCCCTGATAATCATCATCTGATCGTACCAAATTGAAGTCACCAATAATGCATAGTGGTTCAGTGTAGTGTTGGCATACCATACGTAATTCCCGCAAGAATTCAAGCTTGTCGTCTTTTCTCTATGGTCCATATACACCCAGCAGAGCAAATGTTTCTTGACTGTTTCCAATTTTCATTTTACTGCCAGGGATAAAGTTCCTTCCCAAGTGTAAGCAACCTATGCTTTCCTTGTTCCCACTAAATAGCTATGGCCCCACTTGCATCGTTGGCATTTCTTGCAACCAAACTTGACCCCCCGGATCCGCTAAATGAACTGATTAACTCCTGATTACAGTTATTTCACTTTGTCTCTACAAGGACCACAACATTTGACTTCTATCTTCGCTAAATTCTCTTGATCTTGGATCGCTAAGTACTTAATCCCAGCCCACGAACGTTCCACGCAATCACCGACTGACTCACTGATGGGCTCATTGATTAACTTGTACGGAGGCATACATGCTCTTTCTAGTTCTGGAAGGAGTGAGAACCATTTCCTGGACACCCAGCCTGTGTTGCTCCATTTCAAGTTTCGATCTCTTCTCTATTTTCTTTCTCAATCTGGTTTCAACGGCAAGATCTTCAATCCGGTTGATGGCTAAATGGGGAGAACCCTCAACTTCCAAACGGAAAAAATGGGATAACTCTCTACACCTCTCCCCCAAAGAATTCAAATCAAGCTTGGATTGACATTCATCGATGTATTCACCTGAGATGGGTTTATAAGGCACAAGAGAAAGGCAATTAGCATTAGAGCTTGTAATTGGATCATATGAAGGTGAAGAAACAGAACTAGGAGGGGAAGGGGGAAAAGGGGGTAGAGAAGGAGGTGAGCACAGTTCGAAAATTGGCTGGCTAGAATCAAAGTCCTCTCCTAGGGAGACATGGGTTAAAGCAATCTGATTTGCATTGATGGAGTAATTTTGGTTAGATAGGAGAGTTTGGGTAGGAGAAGAGGGATGGGATGGGAATAGAGTAAGATTTATTGTGGATGGAAAGAGAGGGGTTTGTGAGAAGGGGAAACTACTCGAGATGGCATGGGAAGGAGATACGAGACAACAAATACAGAAAAAAGGCTCACAGGTAGGAATGGGCTTGAGGTTAAGGAGGTTGAGGGCCAGGAGATCAAGGTGGACTGTAGGGATTTCCAGAGGCTCTACAGTATAGTTACAAACTTGGAGGGGCCAAAGGTTTTGCATATGAATGGGTTGGGTGAATGGTGTTGGGGGAGCTAGGCGATCCAGAAGGTATATGGGCTTGTTTAGTGGGCCTGCTTTCCTAACCCAGGCTTTCTTGATCTTACTAGGGTTTAAGGCAGTTCCTTGATACGTCGTCGGAGAGGGTGAGAGTGCGCACACTATTTCCTACATGGCAAGGATACCAACCGACCTTCCTTCATTCAAATTGCATGATCGGACTCGTTGGTCTTTGGAACTTGCGTCTAGCCTGTCATGTTGATTCTTTTCAGGAATGGAGGCGTCCCTTTGGTTTCCCGACTTTCCTGCCAGAAGTCGTCGGCGGTTTAGATCGACAACCGATATGTCCAAGAATG